GTTCAGGACATGATAAACACAAACACAAACTAGAAAAATTGCATTTCCTGCAAAAATGCAGTGTGAATGCTTATTCTTAATGAACTTGCTGAAAAACTGCTGAAATGTAGCTGCCTAAATTAGCAGAAGAAAGCAGAAAAAATGAATATTTGCTGAATTTAGTTTAAATAAGCAAAAATGAGCACAATACTTAGTAAATTAGCTCTAAAAGTTGAAATTAGTACAAAAAATCAGCTGAAAAGTAGCTAAAATAGCAGAAAGAAGCTTAAACTAGCAGAAGAAAGTGCAGAGAGCACATTGTTGCTGAATTAGGCTGAGAAGAGCTTAAATGAGTGCAAAAACTGTGAAATTAGCTGAAAAAGCTAAAATTAGCATCAAACATCTAAATATTAGCTGAAATAACTGAAACTAGCATAACAAGCTGAAATTAGCAGAAAGAACTTGATTAGGAAGAAAGTATCAGAAGTTACCACAAACAGTTGAATTTATCTGAAAACAGCTGAAATTAGCTAAAAGATGCTAACAAGTTAGATGAAAAGGTAGAACAAGCTTCATTCAGCAGAAGAAATTACGAAGAACACATGTTTGCCCAGTTAGGCTGAAAGAAGTCAAAAAGTGGAGATTATTTGGGAAAAAAGCTGAAATTAGCAAAAACAGCTGAAAAGTAGCTAAAAAAAAAGCAGAAGCTTAATATACCAAAAGGAAGTTGAGAGCACATTTTTGCTGAATTGGGCTGAAAAAGGTTAAAACAAGTGCAAAAAATGTGGAATTAGCTGAAAAAGCTAAAACAAGCATAAAAGCAATAGTAGCTGAAATGGCAGAAAAAGCTGAAACTAGCAGAAATGATCTGAAAGGAGCGTAGCAAGTTGAAATTAGCAGAAATGAGTTAGAAGAAGCACAAAAATGTTGTAGTTGGCAGAAAAAATCTAAAAGGGACACAAAACAGCAGAAAGTAGCTGAAAATAAATTTAAATTTGCACAAGGAAGCTGAACGAAGCTGAAGCAGAGCAAAATGTGAAAGGAGCAATAAAAGGTTGTAAACAGATCTAAAGATTTGAAGGAGGTGAAATGAGCCTAATTAATTTTCTATTAAACAAAAAATGGCAGAAAAGGCTAAATATTTCAAAAAGCTAAAGTTGCACCAAAAGTTATAGCACCGTTCTCCTGAACGAGCTGAACATTTTGATTTATGATTTGTTGAAACAGCACAAAAACCGTGGAACGAAAAATATGCCAAAACATGCAGAAGAAAAATGGACCTCAATATGCTTCATAAACATTCACACAATAAACAAAAACAAAACATCTGGACATCTAATCTGTAGATGAAGACATTTTGCTTCTACGACTTGGATGGGAAGCAACATATCTTCAGCTAAGTGCAGTTGTTTTGTTTTTGTTTATTTTTATGTTTTGGGGTTTAGATAAAACATGTTTCTGTGTCACAAAAAGAATCTTTCTGTAAAGAAGGATGAAAACATTTGTCTTTTCTGATGAAACCTCAGCTCCAGAAAACATTGAGAAAGTCTCACATGGTCTGTTTTCCCAGATAAAACCAGCATGTTTTTTCCTAAGTTTAGCTTAAAGAGCGTAAAACAACCGATCAGTTTGCTGCATCTGCGTCAAAGTAACAAAATGTTGATTTAAAGAACGATTTTAGTTCATAAAAAATGATCAGTTGTGATTTTCTGTTGGAGCTTATGAGAAAAATCAGGTTTATTTACAACCATGATCATCAGAGTTCACGTCCTCGATCTGAGCAGTCAGCATCTCACCTGCAGCAGACAGAGAGAATCAACTATTCTGAAGGTGCCGGAGGGAAGCGGGGACTCTGAAACTTTTTGACCAGTTGTGAATATTTTCTCTCCTCGTCATGTTTGCAGGAGACAGATGTTAACTGTGGCACTATTTTCTCAACCGAACAACAGCTGTATCCTGCTGCAGGCAGGTTTTTACTTCCACACTCGCCGAGTTTTGTTGTTTTACACCTAAAGCTGCAGGATAAACTCATCACGTGTTCCAGTTTTGCCTGTGAAACAACAAACTGTGGTTTTAAATTAGACTAAATACAGTAAAAAATATATATATAAACCCAGGCCAGGGCAGTGCCACTTTAAAGAAAACAGACTGAAACCTGTTTATTAGTCACGTCTACAGTAAAACTGCAGATGGAGGCTAATTTTATGGGTTTTTTCACAAGTCAAATCAGGATTAAGAAAATGAGCCTGTCTCACAGGACAGGACAATGGTGTCACCGAGCTGCGAGAGGACAATCAGGATGTGTGAACGTGTTTCAGTAAATCTGAATTGGATCCAGTTTGAGGCCTGTTTCTTTTAGAAAAAACCTTTGATTCACTCCCTGTGTGTCTTTGCTCGCAATAATGTTATTAACTTACTTTTTATGTTTATGAATGTTTCTGTTCAGTGCCCTGAGATGACTTCTGTTGTAACTTGGTGCTAAATATATAAACTGAATAGAATTGAATCTCTAAATGTTTTGTTTTTCTTGGACAGTCAAGCCTCTTTTAGTGTTTTTGTTTGTTTAATTACTTCTTTATGAATATTCAATATTCTGGAGGACATTGTTTTGTTGACTCTGTTTATCATTTTAATGCTCCATTTGTTCTTGCTGTTGTCTAGCAGCAGCTTGTTTGTTGTTTTTGTTGTTTTTATTAATGTTTTGTTTGTTCCAATCTATCGTTTTTGTCCTTAAAAATGCTCTTTGGGATAGAGAACGATAAAAGAGGAGAGCCTCACATCTGGAGGTGTTTTGCACTAAAAACCAGGTTCGGGCGGAGTAAATACAAGAAGAAGCAAACAGGTTTTAACGGGTCGACCTGCAGAACTTCTCAAGAGTTTGGACCTTTGCGCTCTGTGGATCCTGAAACGGGCTCTGAGCTGCATGCGAGACTGATTTCAGATCAGTTCCAGATTTAACCGAAGAAAGCGTCATCAGTGCCGAGCTCGTTCAGTCCTCTGCAGCCGTGTGGAGTTTAATGATCAGTTCTTTGGGGTTTTGGGAGCCGTTTAGTTTTTAATCAACATTGTTCTCCATATAAATCAGACCCGTTCTGTTTTTGTCTTTTGTTGTGTTTTGCATTTTACTGTTTATTTGTTCAGATTTTTAAAAAATGATTTTTTTTTTATATTCTTGATTGGTTTGAGCGGATTCTAACCTTTCTGTTGTGATCAAACCTTCCAGATGTGGCCTCGACGGCTCGTTCTCCGGCTCAGAACCAGAACCAGGTCGCAGTCGACACAACAATCTGCTCGTGCTTGTTTGGAATTCCTTGGAAACCATTATGATCCGTCTGACAGGAAATATCCACAGGATGTCATTTTGTGTTTTAAAAATGGAAACATTTTAAACTCATCTGCTGTAGAGAGATTCGAGAACGTTTCGTGCAGATTTCTCCTTTCATTTAAACTAAACGCTCGATAAACGTCGTCAGCAGAATCTCACTTGGGTCATGGAAAGAACTTCCTTCTCTCTGGAATCGCAGGAATGGAAAAGTAACAGGAGGAGGTCCGAAGTGAAATTATTCAGATGGAAAAACTGCAGCTTCTAAATAACATCAAAATGAAGAGGACGGAGCTGCAGCCGATCAGACGAGCCGAAGCAATAAGCAGCATTTAAAGCTGTTTTCAATCCAAATGGATCAGCTAAAACCACATATTTGATTCAAAGTCAGCTGCATGTCAAAATACAGAATTGTCAAGTTTTTTGTTTCTCTACAGCTCAAGACTGATTTTTTTTTATTATTAAAAGTCAAAAAAGAAAATCTAAAAAGCAGATTAAGACCAGCTCAACCTGAGCTGCAGCTCCTCTTGAACATTATTTTTGGTGTTCAGGTTTAAAGCCTCAGTAGCTCGGTGGTAAGCACCGTCCAGAGGTCGAGGGTTCAAGCCCCAGTTTAGAAATGGACATTCAGTGAAACAATCAGCAAATCTGTCATGCGCGTTCGTGTCTGAAGGGAGCAGCCAATACATCGTTTCATTTTCTTGGTTTTGGTTCCAGATGTTTAACAAAAACCCCAAAACACTTCTTTTTAATTTTGTTTTTTATTGCCTCAAAGTTTTCACGTTGTTTTACTCTTTAAAGTCACAAAGTTCAGGTTGCTCATTTTACCTGAAGGCTCTCAGACCAAAACATGCTCGTTTTATATTTAAATTACAGATAAAACAAAACTTTTCACATTTAAGCAAATATTTATTGAGACATCCAAACAGGCAGGAGCTTCGGTTCATTTTCATTCAACCGAATCAAATCAACTTTTCAATCGTTTTAATGAAAGGCGTTTTTGTCTTAAATATTTGGGACAATTTACACACTGACTTAACAAATAAAATATTAACAATAATCATATTTACAGAGCTGTATAAATAAAGTAATACGCAGCTTTACTCTTTGCAAAAACATTAAATTTATGCCGAGCTTCATCAAACGTGTCGTCTGAACGAGTTTACTCCGGTTTATGTTGAAATGTGGGTACGCACTCAACGTAAACAAAGCACTTTAACCATATTTTATGAAACACATCTGAGCGTACACACGACAAACGTTACCATCTGACCTGTTTTAGTTTAGTTTAACAGATTTGTTCATTTAAGGACATATAAACCATCAAAACAAACAGTTTATGATGTTTTGTTGTTTTACAGTTAACGTCCTGAAACATTTTTAAATTATTTATTTTCTCATTGTGAAGATTAGTTTTAGTTTTTCTCTTAGACCTTTTTATTAATCGTAATTATTAATTTCTTCTTTTTTTTTCAGTAAAAATAAAATGTATTTCAATTTGTACACGGGAGATAGTTTTAAATTTAAATTTAAAGGATGAAACGCAGACAGGCGAGTTCTCCAAGATGCAAAATGATGGAGATCTGAAAAAAGAAACACTGAACTGAGAGCGTGCACGCTTCAACAGATCGTGCGCGTGCACAACAATTAACCTCTACATGTCACGACAGGAGCGCGCGCCCAGAAACGGCTTAAATTAAATATAAATTAAAAGTCAATAATGGAACTGCAGGTATGTACAGGTGTGCAACATCACGTCATGTGACCACGTCCGTCGCTGTATCAGCTGTCCGAGTCCACGTCGCTCCTGGTTCCGTCCAGTTTGTCCGGTTTGGGTTTGACCCGGTTCTGAGTGTTCTCCGACTCCTCGGAGGAGGAGCGCTTCTGTCTCCTCCACTTGGCCCGCCGGTTCTTGAACCAGACCTGCAGGACCAGAACCAGAACTGTCGGTTAGAGGCACGAGACTTCCAGGAACAGAACTGAGGGGAGCGAGATGAGAACTGGGTCCAAATGAAACCCAGTTTTAGAAAAATAAATATCCTTAACTCTTTATCTTTTAGGTCTCTTCCCCCCCCCCCCCCTCCCCCAAATTAAGTTTCTTTCAAAAACTGAAATAAATGAATTAACACATTTTTATACTTTTACAGTTTTTTTTTTTAATGGAAAAAATAAAATAAAATATTTGCTATTAATTTACTGTTTGTCTAATATTCATAATAAGCTATATTGAGTTTTTTATTGTAATAATAATATGCAAGTTTTATAATAAAATCATTAAAATATTTATTATTTATTAGAAACATTTTGTAATATGTTTTTAATTAAAAAGCACCCTAATTATTACTTTTTTAATTCGTTTTTAAATTTGTTTTTATTCATTTTGGATGTTTAATATTTATGTAAAATATTTTCATATATAT